AAAAAAAAAAAAAAAGAAGTCAAATTGTATATGTGGTAATAAAGAAATTTTCATATTTGAAGTCGTTTACCCACATATGAAATAATATTTGGTAAAGCATGAGTCAAGTAGCAGTAAACCCTGGTATATATTATACACCAATAGTTTTTATTTTATGATATTATGTTAAACATATGATATAAAAATTATTTAAAAGAAATGAAAGATAGAACCAATTAAAATAAAATAAAAAAAAAACAATAAAAACATACCACGATGAAATAGAAAGATGAAGAATAAAAATTCAACAAAAACATACATGTGGTTTCCTGGTGATATAGGGAAGTGAAATTGAAGGATGCCCAATTTTTTGTTGCTCGTAATATGCAAGGCATAAGAATTCTACTCAGTTAGATATATTTTTTGCGCTATTTATGAAGAAGAATGTTTCTAATGGAAAATGGGATGGAGAGAAGGATTAGTTCGAACTTTTAATTACTATCATTATTTTCATGATGGTAACGTTCCATCTATTGCAGCTGTTGCATTCTATTTTTTAAAAATAATTTATGATTGGGCCGTTACATCTTCAGCCATAACCCTCCATAAAGAGGTGTAAGTTATGGGGGGTGAATTTTTTTAAAATAAGATTAAAAGGAAAAAATGAAATAGAAAGTAAAAAAACAAGGAGAATAAAGATAAATAGAATCCCTACACAATGAAAGATGTCACATCACCTTTCCTATTCCCAACTTTATATATATATACTTAGTAGTATTACTTTTTGCGGGATATCGGTCTTATGACTCATTATAAATATTCTTTTAGTTTTGTAATCTTTTTTTTTTTTAAATAGGAGATCAACTAAAAAGAACAAGGAGAACGGTTAATAAAATATTCTTGTAGGATCATTTTCGTCTATTTAAATTGTAATTGGTCATACAAAATTAATTATTTTCTCGTGGGTGGAAATATTTCGTATCAAACCCTCATATTATCAAATGTATCTAGGTACTATGAACATTTAAGATTATCCCTAAATCAACAAGCATGTTTGACACAATGAATTTAATGATCGAAATATAAGAGGAAGAAAATAATTCTACATTTTAGGAAAAATAAATGAATTAATTATATAAGAGATCTTGCTCTTACTGTAATAAAAGGTGCGAAAATAGGTGAAAAGCAAATAAGTTGCTTACGTGGTAAAGGTGATAGTAGTTTGGTTTACTTTTGATTTGATAAAGAAAGACAACTTTGTGTTTAAAAACTAAAAGTTCTTTAAAAAAATTGGGACGAAGATGGCCTTAAATTTCAGAGCTGCCCTTTGGATAAAACTAAAAGATGAGGATTAGCCGATTGAATAAAGATGACAAATTTGATACAAAGAGCTTAATAATTTTTTTATGTAAAAAGTAATGTATGAAATTTGGCCAATCGTTTTTCCACCTGCCCTGCTGTGATTTTCTTAAATAAATCAAAAAGGAAGGGAGGGGAAACTAGAAGAACTATTATTCTAAGTAAAAAAGAAAGCAATCGAAGACTTTGAACATATGCGCCAAATAAAAAACATTATATTGATGCCATGAGGAAGTATTATCGCTGATTATATTAGTAAATATATAGTAGTCCTTGATTAATTGCTTGATTGCATCATTTGCATGCTTATCACTTGGAGGATGAATTATTAGGTCTAATCATAACCGATAGTGACCAAGTAATAAAGTACGGATTTAAGTTATGTGCACTGACAGTATAAATATTTTTTATACTATTATTATAATTTGATTTATTATAATAAATTCTCACTTAATTTTTCGGAATCATCATGTCAAACTTGATAGAAGGAATTACCAATGGGTGTAGATTAATTTTACCTAATTATGTAAAAAAATTCAAAAAGAAAAAGATAGGATGCTTTCTTAACTAGCCTAGCGTACTATAAATCTACAGAGAACAAGAGCCCGATCAAGATATCCTTTTCATTTTTTTATACACCTTTCTTTTTAGTTGCTCCTCTTTTTAGGGATCTAATGTAGGGTTATGCATGGATCGGATCGGATCAGATTTAGCACATTTCGGATTCTAGAAAATACAATTCGAATCCGATCCGAATTAATATCGGATCAAATCAGATTTTAAAGTTTGGATCGGATCGGATTTTCGGATTTTAGATCGGATTATTATGTTAGAAATTATAATAGAATATGAGACGAAATAATTAGGCCTTGATAGTGTAGTCACTGTCCTTAAGGAATTTAAGCCTCCCAATTTCGTTGCTGCAGGGATTATGACATAATTCCTCCAGGATTTTACAAAGCCTCTGAAATCCGAGTTTCAACAATTAACTCGAATTTCCCACAAGAACGAAATAGTGTGAGTTGTAGAAAATAAGTAGAAGAGAAAGAGATGAAAGTTTCAGATAATATCGTTTTGGAGATGAAATAGGTATTTATAATATCTCTAGGAGTCTTGTTGGAATTAACAGACTCATCTCTTCATAACAAACACCTTTTAAAACCAATAGCCACCTTCTTTTAAATTTAAAAAAAAATATTAAAACATTTTTTTTCTGAAATTAAAAAAGCTAAAAACGTTTTTAATTAATCAAATAATGGGTGGCTAAAATATTAATTCGGGCTACTTAATTGGCCCAAAGCCCAAGTGCCCAAGTGCTCAAGCTTGACTATTAATAATATAGTCAAATTCCAATTTCCCTCCAAAACACCCTCAAAATATTTAAACTATATAAGACAAAGAATTCTTTTAAACACCTCTTCCTTTCTTTCTTTTTCCAATGAGGGACAAACAACCTCTTCTCAAATACTCCCATCAAACACTAACTAATCTAACATATTATGCCTCAAAGTTGCAAACTCATATGTATATTTTCTTTGTAAAAGAGGCAATACAGTAAGAAAAATTCATGTTTATGCAATTATGAGAGTACTATAGTGCCAATATAGCTAAATCGAGCAATTGTAAAGGTAATAACTTGAAGGAAGATGTAAATGAAGTACTGACTATCCGAAATTAAAGTTTAGTATTTATACATACCCTAATAACTTCGGATTTCGGAGCGAATCGGATTAAAATTATACCAATCCGAATCAGATACGAAATCCGAAATTTTAATAACCACAATCTGAAATTCGATGCAATTCGAAATTGAACGGATCGGTTCAAAGTTCGGAAATCCAATCCAAATGAACAGTCCTAATCTAATGGTCTTAGACAATATAAATTGTTGATCTTCTAGCTACTTCAAAAACATTTTCAAAATGCCCTAAAAATTCGAGCATCCACTAACTATTCAGAATAAGACAGCAATATCGTCAGCTATTAAACGTGGCATTCTGGGAACTAAACTGTTATCACTACTTTAGGAAATTCCATTCAAAGCCATATATAGACTATGACTGGATAGTAAGACAGAATAGGTGAATTTTTTAAAAGTTCGGATAAGTCTATATTATATATATACTGCTAGTTGATACATGCACACTGGCTAGTTCTAACAACTTTGTGTTTGACGTACCAACTTGCAATTTTTTTGCTGATTCACCAAGATTAGGTACAAATCCACCTTAGCCTAGAGTTTCTTATTAAAGAATGAAATAGTATGTTTATTTGCATGCTGTCATCGTTTGAGGAACTATGTAATGTTGTCTTTTAATTAGGTCCTCGTGTGCATGCATGTCGTCATTTATAAGCTTAGTTAGTTAACTTACGTGCGGAATCATTTATTTTTAGTG